TCAACCCTTGCCATACACACTGCAGGGAGTTTCTCCCCAAAATGAAAAGCAATCATCTTTTCATTGAGTTGAAAAGATTGAGTCTTGAGTCAGCAAGACTCAATCATCCAGGCCAAAAGTGTCAAGATATCCTGGATGATTGAGTCTTAAATCCTGCTGAATTCAGATGTAATCTATTCATGCATTCTTGGAAGTCAGGGTCTTTTCATTTAATGGGGCTGCTGTCAGGATTGTCGTCTTTGGGATCTTTCCAAAGCTGATGTTGAATTTTACACATTATGATTGCATGATCACTGTCAATATGTGAAATGTAGCGTAAAGCATCTTGAAGCTACCACTCATAAACCTGAAGTTGGTGTTCTAATGTAGTGATTTGAGGGCAGCTGTTTTGATGCCCTATCATAATATTTTGCATATATATTTCAGTAACATATAGATAATGCTTGCGGCCCCACCTATTAGGAAACTGAAAATACTCTAGTCCAGATCCAAGAAAGTGGGAAATGAAATATGCCACAGTCTGGACTAGCATGAAAATAAGAATGTCAACATTCATTCCACACTGGGGGAATAAGGTTAAACTGTGAAGAGCGAGCAGACTGATTTCCCAAGATTTCCAGATCTCTACCAAGTTTTGTGTCATCGGTACCCATGGCTCTTGAAATAGATACCGAAGCAACCATTTATTGATTGCCAACTTTGAAGCCACCTTCTCAGCCAGGAGCCATCCCTCTTCTGCCCCAACAAAAAAGGGAACAGCAAGAGAGCTAAAACTGGTGGCTATTTGGACAAGGCAGGCAATGGCAGAAGATACTCACATAGGGAACATATTATTTGTAAAGCTGACCAAAGAGCCTAAATGCCTTCAAAAGGTTAGCTATTTTTCTTCCTGGAGAAAAGAGAAGTGGAATGCTGGGAAAAGTAGGAAAGTTTGATAACAATAAATGAAATCAAGTCCTGTTTCTCATGTTTCACATATCTGTGCTGTCTGGAGTCACTCACTCTGGATCCTTTCTAAGGGTATTTTCATGAGATGTGTTCAAATTGCTTTTTTAAATTTCCTAGATCTCCACCATAACATTACATTAGCCCTAGTAGGCCAATGTTTCTGCTCCTAATTCTTTTATGATTTTCTGGAGTAGAAGAAGAGGCTTCTTTCTCAAGAGGACAGTTAACGTAGCCATTAATTGTCACTTTGGGATTTATGTCACTTACATAATCTCTCTTACATAGCTTGACTCTCTAAATAATTCAATTGGAAGGAATTGGAAAATGCGTCCCATGAAAGGACTGGCGATAAGCAAAATCCAGCTGGGTTCATCTCTACACAACAAAAAATGCCTAAAAAAAAAAAGGCTAAGGAATGGATGGGCAACCTGTCTTCTAGCTGTGAAATTTTAGCTTCCTGGATAATGCTGAATTTAGAGGAATATATGATTAATCTCAATCTCTTGGACTTTAATTTAGCTTTGAAAATCTAATGTTATTAACTAGCTCATTAAAGCTTCCCCCCCCTCCATATACTGTATAAGCTTTCTGGATGGATCAGGTGCAAAACCTTGCTTCTTCTTTCCCCCAGTCTGCCAAAAGTAGAATAATGCAGATTCTCACAAATCTGTTCCACAGAAGTGAAAACAAATGGTAACATTTGTGAAGTTCTGTCTGTATGGCTGAAAATGGAATAAATGGGAATACTCAGAATTTTTTCATTGTAGAGATATTAGAAACAGTACACCCAAACCCATGTGATTCTTCTGACTTCTGCTACATCAGGACGATAGAAACAGTCACCATAAAGGGGGCATTCTCTCTTTATGAGCCACGGTGGCGCAGTAGTTAAAATGCAGTACTGCAGGCTACTTCTGCTGACTGCCGTCTGCCTGCAATTTGGCAGATCAAATCTCACCAGGCTCAAGGGGAGCAAAAGGGATTTTTCAATATATCTACAAAATTGATACAGATTTGCTCTGAGGAACAATAGGGCCAGTGATTCATGTCGGGAGAAAAAAAGAAGAAATAAATGTGGCCAGGGCAGCTGTGCAGTCATTATTTCAGTATTCATATATCAGCAAACCATGACTTTGGCACCGAATATATAGAGAAGCACAGCCAACTTTGGCTTCCAAATGTACCTAATTGATGAATATGTCACATAACACTGTACTTATATACTTGAAGCAACTGAAATATTCACCTCTATGAATGTTCCCTTTACATGTTCAAATATGCTTCCCAGCCCCAAATATGAGGTACCCTTGATCTAAGGGTTTTTAACTGGGATAGACTTTCTTAATCAGAAAAGTGCTGGCAGAGAATAATCCATGGAGAGATCTATCACCCATTTTGGTGTTTTAGAACTTCACAGTTTATTTGCCATATCTATTGCTCTTATTGTTGCTGTTCTTGATCTTTTTTTTTTAAAGTATGTTTTGTGCCTTTCTCTATGTGAATGTGGATAGTTTTTAATATAGTTTTTAAAGTTTTCACTGACTGCAGACAGCTCAAAAAACTCTATTATCAGGAGCTTTTTTAAAAAAGAACTAAACATAAAACCAAGGTCAGCTGGTGCCAACGCTGGAGATGGCACTGATCTGAAAGGAATAGGAATAACAAAATAACAGAATAACAGAGTTGGAAGGGATTTTAGAAGTCTTCTAATCCAACCCCTTGCTCAAGGAGACTGTATACCATTCCAGACAAGTGACTGTCCACTCTCTTCTTCAAAACCTCCAGTGATGGAGCACCCACAACTTCTGAATGAAAGCTGTTCCACTGGTTAATTGTTCTCACTGTAGGAAGTTTCTCCTTAATTCCAGGTTGCTTCTCTCCTTGATTAGTTTCCATCCATTGCTTTTTGTCTTGCCTTCTGGTCAGTGGTGGGATTCAAGTAATTTAACAACTGGTTCTCTGCCCTAATGATTTCTTCCAACAACCAGTTTGCCAAACTGCTCAGAAAGTTAACAACCAGTTCTCCGGAAGTGGTGCGAACTGGCTGAATCCCACCACTGCTTCTGGTGCTTTGGAGAATAGGCTGACCCTCTCTTCTTTGTAGTGGCCCCTCAAATATTGGACGACTGCTATCATGTCCCCCCACTCCTTCTTTTCACTAGACTAGATATAACCAATTTCTGCAACCATTCTTCATATGTTTTCGTCTCCAGGCCTCTAATCATTTTTGTTGCTCTTTTCTGCACTTTTTCCAGAGTTTCAACATCTTTTTTTATAATATGGTGACCAAACCTGGATGCAGTATTCTGAGTGTGGTCTTACTAAGTCTTTATAAAGCAATACTAGTAGTTCATGTGATCTTGATTCCATCCCTCTGTTAATGCAACCTAGGATTGCATTGGCTTTTTTGGCTGCTGCTCTACCCTCTTTTTGACACCTCTTTATTCTTTCCTTAACGCTCATTTAAGGGCTGCCCATAGGAACTACCGTATAACCCACATTAATTACTCTGTCCTCAGTGGTCCTTGTATTTCCTCTAGGCAACAGGTCCCTTTAAGACCTTTGCAATGGGGAAGCTGAGCAACTGGAATTCAACCCGTTTATTTTTAGCGATTCAGGACAATTCAGACCAATGACTCCATATAATGAGGTAAAATGAGGGTTTTACATGGGTAAAATGTTTTCCCTCATAGAACTGGATGCCTTTTTTCTTCAGTAGATATTATAGAATTCTCCTGAACATAAGCCTTCAATCACAGGATTGAAGTCTTGGTTGGCCATAAAGGGATCACAGGACTTTTTCATGCTTCTCCAGCAAAAGGAGAACTCTTTTAGCGCCATCCTTTTGAAAGCCGTTGAATTCCCTCCTCTCTCTTCCTCATAAAGTTACCTTCCCAGGGGAATGTGTTTGCTAGTCACCTCCAGCTGAAACAAGAGTCTGAATCACATCTGAATCATCAGTATCACAAAGGCCCTTCTCTCTGCCATGGCTGGCTTCAGCACTTTCTTTTAGAAGTAGAGTTTAGCCCCTTTTCCTCAGGAAAACTGAGGGTGCAGCTTTATCACAGACATCAATCTTCCTCACCCTGAAGTGCTTTGGACTTCAACTCTCAAATTTTAATTCTAATTAAATTAATCTAATTAATTCTAATTAAATCTTTAATTCTCAAATCAACCCAGTCCGAGAATTGCCGGATCTAACCATCTTGTGAGGTCCAGATTCCAACAGTTGTCCTATTTCATTTCTAGGGACATCAGTGGAGCAGAAAGTTTTGATTTATTTTAATGGCATTCAGGATTGAAATTCAACAGCACCTGTCAGTAAAGATCCTGAATTTAAATTAGCCTGCAAACATCCCCCTTTCTCCATTCAGAGAGGTTCTTGTTACACCGATGGGAATAAATGTTTGGCTATTACTGACTGCTGGATTCAGGGGCTGCTGCAGGATTACATCCAAAGTATGATGGCAAGAGATTGTGCATCCTTTGTAACGCTGAAGTCAAATATTCCACCACCTGCCCCCAGCCAATCGCTCCTGCTTTCAGTGTCCCTGTTTTTGAATACTTTGGGTTAGCAAAAGGATAAGCTTTTCTCTTTCTCTAGGGAACTCCAGGCTTCGACCTGGTTTGTCCCATTGCCCACGATGATCGGGAACCGCATCTTGCCCCCCCCCCCATCTCCCCACCTTCTGACATTCGATATCAATTGTCTGCAAACTACAATGCTGGCTTTATGAATGAGCCCACCAGCAGCGGCACTCGAGCGTGGGAGATGACTTTCCACGGCAGCCTTTTACACAGCGAGTAAACGGAGAAATAGGAGAATTTCGGATGTCATCACAATTTCAACCCTCTCCCTCCCTCAAGTCTTTTCAAAAGCCGTGAGATGAAATAGCCAGCCTTCTTCTCATCCTCTACATTGCCCCCAACAGGGAAAAAACAACAACAACCCCAAAACCAAAACAGAGGAAGGCGATAACACAACCGTCCCTGCTTGTTTGAGCGATTAGGGCTGCGCGCGAGAACCGGTCTCGGTTACCGACCCAGACTGGATCCTGCAAAGCGCTGAGTGGCTTAGTGAATCCAAGGGCGAGCAGATATATCCGTAGGTCTTCATCGAAGGCGTTAGGACCCGGAAGACCTGCCTCCCGCTCTCTTCCTCTCGGTCTTCCTCGGTCTCTCTCTCTCTCTCTCTCTCTCTCTTTGCGCTCTGCGGGACTTGAGCCGGGAGACAAGAGCGCCAACAAACAGCTGCGACCGCTCGAGCCAGCCAAAGAAGAGAGAGGGAGAGAGAGAACCGGGTGTCGCCGTTTCCCCATCGCTCCCTCGCTCTCTTTTTCTCGGCTCCCCAAGAACTGAACCTCTTTTCAGCTGACTCGGAGCTCCCAGGCAGCCCGGAGGTCCCGCAATGAGGCGGATCCGGGCTAATGCCATTGCGATCCTGACCGTAGCTTGGATCCTAGGCACTTTCTATTACTTGTGGCAGGACAGCAAGCCTCATTCGGCCGCGTCCAGCCGGTCTCCCAGCAGCAGCAGCAACGGCGGCGGCGGCGGCGTTAAGAGTGGGCAGAGAAGCGCCGGCAAAGTCGAGCTCCATAAAGAAGAGAGGACCGTCCCCCTTCTCGTAAGTGCGGCTTCCTTCCTCTCTCTCTCTCTCCTCTCTCCTCCCCCCCACCCCACCTGGGCTCCCAGAGCCCGGTGCCCTCCGATGGGTTGGCGATTCCCGCGGCTGCCTTACTGCAGAACCAGATGCTGCGCGGGCGTGGGGAGGACGCTTGGGGAGGGGGGGGGCGTGGGGGGCAAGGAAAGGGAAGGAAGTGCGCGGAGGTGTGGAAGCGTCGCCCGAGTTTGCCGGGGAGATTGGCCGAGTGGATGCTGCCGGCGAGGAGGAAGAGATGGAGTGGCAAAGCGGTGGGGGGGAGGATGAGGGGTGGCAGCGTGGCTTGTGCCACGGCTCTTTATTCTTATTTTATTATTCATATTTCTTGATGTATTTATTCCAGCAATTTTTTTCCCCGGTAACCATGGCAGCATTTACAATTGGGGATGAGCTCCGAAGTGATGGGGATGGCGAGGGAGAAGAGGGGGGGGGGAGGGAAGGGGTCCCGCGCCGCGCCAAAGTCTTGCTGTTTCTCGAGTTCTGGGCACCAGGCTTGGGAACCGGCGGGGGATGGGATGGGATAAAGCCGCCTCGGAGGAAGAACCGGGTTGGCATTCGCGAGGTAGCTTGTCAACGGCATCAAAAGATGCGGTTGACCAAACCTCAACATGTCTCTCTTGGGAAAAATGGTATCTTTGGCTATCGAAAAGAAGACAACAATCAGATTAATATAAACAGGCGTTGTAGATATATTGAAAATATTTTACTGCATGTATAGAAGTGAGAGTGGAGAGATTTGATTGGTTTATAAGCTCAACATAGGTTGTTCTGTCTCCCCCGGATTGTATTATGAACTTATTGTATAGTTTACTAGTGTATTGTTTATATTCTTTTATGTTTTTTGCTTTGCTTTGTCTTGTTTTTTCTTCTTGTTTTTTTGTTTTCTTTTTAACTATAAATGTAAATAAAGACTATTTAAAAAAAAAAAAGATGCGGTTTGCAGAGCTGAGAGGAGAGAGAATAAGAATGAAACGCACGTGTGGGATCGAGCCGGAATCGGATTGAAGATGGGGGGGGGGGGGGGGGGGGGGGGGTGCGTCTAGAATGGAAGAAGGTCCTGGTGTCCCAAGACGGTGATGGGGTCCTTTTCCCCAAGGGAGGAATCATCTTGGTTTCTGCACGCTTCCGAGACCTCCACACAGGAAATTGGCAAGAGCTGAATGATCCCTGAAGCTGCGGGATGTGAAAAGATGAGTTAATTAGGCTGTAGCTTTTGCAAATTGCGATTCCAGATGTGAGTCTTCTCCGGCCATGCAGGGGCAGAGAGGGCTTACGTGCCTCAAAGTTCATCTAGTTGTACCTGAGATCTTTATTTCAAGGCATTCAGCACTCGCATTTGTAGTGGGGGAGACAATATACCTCTTCCAGATATGTGGACATTATTATTTACTCTTCAAAAAAGAGTCCGAGCAAAAATAGGTTTAAGATTGGTATAAGGGGGGGGGGGAAGGGAGGAGGTAAGTAGGAGAGTTGCATTTCTTTTCCTTCTTTTCTTAAAACACATGAATTGGGACTTAAAGATTTCTCAGGCCAGCAGAGAGTTTCAGAGTAAGGAAGCTTTAGAGACCTCACTGCTTGCAAATGAGTGAATTATTGCCTTCCTCTTTCTCAAAGCCTCAGCACAGGTTCAATTTCTCTAACATCTCCAGTTTTCAGGGAGCTGTGTGTGTGTGTGGGGGGAGAATAACAGCGGAAGGAAAGATCTTTCCTAGCCATTGAATAGCTGGGCCAATAATATGAATTAATGGCAAAACTGGTTCATTGTGTAATACAAGACATTCAGAATTACTCAAAACACCATCAATTCATCTACATTTAGCTGATTATACAGCCCTGACTGCTTCCGTGGCAAATATAGATAGATTTTTCATTAATCACATGTTGAATAGAGAGGCTGTGCTCATCTGAGAGTTTAAAACAATACTTAGATTTTCTTGGTTGTGACTAAAGGAGGCATAAGGACAACAGACACACAAGTAAAAGTCTGTCCCCACATTTAAAGTGGTTGCTAGCTGACAGCTCGCCATTTCTGGATCCCCTCTGGTTTTTTGGGGGGGGCTTTGAATCTACAATATCCTTTGCAAAGGCTGCACTCTGTTCTGCCATAATGCTGGTGCAACAAGAGGGCATTTCTATTTTGGGCATGGGAAAATTTTGAGATTCTTTCATCTCTGTTAGAGATGCAGGCTTTTTTTTGTCATAGAGATCTGCTTCTTCAGACTACAGGATACCCTAATCAAAGCAATCTGTTCACTAAAATTACCAGAACATCATTGGAATGACCTGGCTGAAAGCACTTTAGAAATTGTATCTCGTTTTCAGTGGATCAATTTGCTACCTAGATGGAGTGATTAAAACAGTGACAGACAATGGGCCTTAAAAGCAAAATCATTGTAGATCAGCAGCTTGGGGCCATAATCTTGTTAGTGATGGGCATGGTACTGTCTACTCTCTGTGCTTTGTGTAATAAACTATATATAGCATACTTTTCCTAGGTGTTTCAATGAGTTGTGCTGTACTTGCATTATGTAATGGAAAAATTGCAGTATATCATTTTCATCCCATAGCTATGATACTGAGGGCACCCATTGGATGGGGGGGGGGGTTGTCCAGCATCAAAATAATGATTGGGCAATGAAAGCCCATCCCTTTTACACACACCACATGGATGTAAGAAGAGGTGGAACTTTAATTGCCTGATTACACCCATCCCCAACATTCCTATTAATAGAACCATCATCTACCCAGAAATTATACAGGCAGTTCTCAATTTACAGCCATTCATTTAGCCACCATTCAAAGTTACAATAGCATGAAAAAGGTGAGTTACAATGAATCCTTGCACTTACAACTGTCACAGCATCACGCGGTCATGTGATTCTGGTACCAATTCTAGTTGTTACTCAAGGATTACCTATATACACTAGTGATCTATGAATTTTCAAAGGAGAATTTAGTTTAGCTTACCTGTTTCTATGGGACAAAAATGTAGGGGATGTAGCATTTTCTTAGACTCAGTACTTGCCCATAGTAATTATTTTCTATTTTCAGATAAACACATATGTGTACATTTCATACCAATGTCTATAATTAATATTTGTAATTTTGAGGGATGAAACAGGGAAAATGATTATATGATTATTAGTATTATATAGAATACACAAAAGTATGTGATTTAGTTTCAAACTCATATGATTTCACAGTATTCAGAAAAATAAAGTTCATAGAATTTATATTATTATTAATTTTAAAAACCACATCTAATCTGAACCCATTCCCTAACTGCTTTGTCTTCTGCCTTCACGCTGTTCCTTTGCTTCAGTGCTTCTTAATATTGGCCATTTTAAGATGTCTGGACTTCCAATTCCCAGAATTCTCTGGGGGAATTCTAGGCATTGAAGTCCACACATCTTAAAATGGCCAAGGTTGAGAAACAATACTTTAATTAGAAATTGTTCTAGCAGAGCTATCATGTCTGAGTGCTGCTGCCCTTCAATCTTGCCTTATGAATAAATAAGTTGACCCAGTGAGACAAATGCCTTTTCTTCCTTTCATTGTGGTAAAGTATTCTTTCTCGATGTAACCATAAGTCACTTTATTTAATGAAATACATATTATGTTTAAGGTGCAGATACATTAATTTTATCTTTTTTGTTTTTCTGGGTAGCTGATTTGTTTTGGATTCTTTTTCCAGAGCATACGTGGTATGGTTGCCACAACACAGACTGCCCCTGCATGCATCAGGCTACTCAAAAGTCATATCCCTGTTGCTGTCCCCTCAAACAGTTCTGCTTCTACTGATCTGGCAGTGCACAGAATAGTTAATGGGGTTACACTGAGATGTAATAGGAATAACAACACAACCTTTACTGGCAGTAGCGCTACCACCTTGCTTGAAGCAGAGGAGCGGGGAAATGGATCAACTTAATAGCTAGAACTGAAAATGTCTCAGATTCAACCTGGGAACTCTTATAGGCCAAGCCAAATAAGGAAACCATGCTTTGCGAGAGAGAAGGGCACTACGGAACACACTCTCATAACTTTGCCGTCTGAAATTTGCAAAGCTGCATGAGAGTTAAAATGGGGTTTTGCACTTTTTGAAAGGCAAACTCCAGGCTAAAAGGCCAGGGGTGGGTTCTACTTACCTTTATTACCGGTTCGCAACGGCGCCGCACACTCTTCTGCACAAGCGCAGAAGCATTTTGATGATGTCAGGGTCAGTGGGCGGAGCCTCCCGCCAGTTAATACCAGTTCTATAGAACCGATGAGAACCGGAGGCAACTCACCACTGTAAAAGGCCTTCCTCCCCGGCATTAGCTTTGAAATTATCCCTTAACACCCAAGCCTGGGCAATTTACCCTAAATTGGGTAAAAGTGGTCTTTGTTTGGCTGACTTTCAAACCCAATCACAACAGGGACATTTCAATTGATTTTAAATTCACCAACATGGGGTAAAAAAGGACTTCCTGATAAGCAGTTTTGGATAATGAAGGAAAAATTTGGGAAGGGCTGCCTTAACATTTCAAGAAAAAAAATGAAGCTGGATGAAGTGAAGCAGTGAAGGCCAAAGAATGATCAGATAAGCATGAACTCGCCGTTTTTTTAAAAAATAAATTTTCTGGCAATATTCTTTGGAAAATGGAATGACTAAATCAAACTCCAGAACAGAAGCACGGCTGTGTTTGATAAGTGTAAAAGAACAAATGTATTTAATGGGGAATAAGCTGCTTAAGTACGATTTCTTAGATTCTGTAATTTGGGTGGTAGGTGGGAAAGTGTCCTTGTTTCAAAACCTGATTTCAAACTGAACATGCTCAGATCAAGAAGGGATTAAGGGAAAACCCTCATTAAGCTTGTAGACAAGGAGACTTAAATACTGTTCGCATTCAGAAAAGCTACCCAAACCTGATTGTTCTAGAAAGCAAGCGTGCTTTTACTATGCTAAAGGATATTGCAGCTAGAAT